AAAACAGCCCCCCATCCTGTCCCTCCTTTTTAATTTCTTCTAAAACTCCCAATGGTTATCAGACTGCAGAGGGGTGCGACCAAAACACTCGGCACAACCCACGCCTCCAGGAGGAAGACCTGCATCCCAGGCGACAGGTAAACAACAACATCCAGCAGGGTTCAGTCCTAACCACAGCCCTGTGACGTCATCAAGAAGCCGCCCAGTCTAATAATCCCTGATTGACAGTGGAGATGCAAACGATCATGCTGTAATAACATGGAGGAAGCATTTAAGTTAACTTCTATCTCTACTTTTAAGCTATAAATAGGTACTTCTTTCTAACTTTTCGTGTACTTTTCTGACTGTTTATGTCCCCTTCATAAGGGACATAAGGTCTTTATAACTTGTTATAAATGCTAAAGAGCTTTAACTGCAGGCTTTAACATCATCAATAAAATCAACACAAATGACCCACAGATGGTAATTATCCTGAGCTGGTATGAAAACATCTCCCCAGGCTGATGTGTGAATGGATGTGAAAGTGCTCCGTTTGTGCTTTTTAAGCTCTTAAGGACCTCTGCTGCACCGTCCACTGGACTTTAGGCTGATTAAAGGCTTTGGCCCCCACAGATGGCATGCCAAGCGTGTTAAAGTCAAATGAGTGACAGCGGCCGGCGGCGCCTGATGGGGGAAAAAAAAAAAAAACAGTTAAAAAAAGGTTAAGGACATGATGTTAGAGTAATTACTCTAATGCATGAAACATCCACATGTGACTGCTGTGATTTGGGATTAAAAGGAAGCTGGAAGGGGTGTGGCTTATAGGGATGTTATAAACCAGTGACAGCAGGCGCATAAAACGGAGGGTCGCACTCAGGTACGCTTTGATCCAACTAAGTCATTAAAGTTTACCTTTTGCAGATTAGAAAGTGTTCCAAAGCTAGACCCCATGTGGCTGTTTGAACTGTTTGAAACAGCTCTTAAAAGCAAGGAAAAATGAAAAAGAACCAACCAATGACTTTGAACACATCAACAAATACCAGAAGCTTTAAGAAGCGATTAAAAAATAAAAATTCAGCACCAAACAGTACCTGAAATATCATTAGTTTTCAAAATGTGTTTTTTAAGCAAATAATATTCCTGAAAATCACATATTTTCAAACAAATAAAACTTTTGCTGTTTAAAATGCAACAGATTTCGTGTTGCCAAAAATATCTTGTGTTTTATTAAAAATTCATAAAATATTTGGAGAATTAAATTACTTTATTTAGCTGGACTTCTATCAAAATAGCTCTTTGTACCTCAGATATTTCGGACCCCTGCTCTAATCAGTTAGATGTGGGCTGAAAACTTCAAAAAGCAAAATCCAGGATCAGATGAACAACCTCAGCAGCCCTGCTCAGAGCTTCTTGTGGAAAATGATCCAGGAAAAATCAAAAACTTCAGCTTCCAGCAGAACACCATCCTCACCCCTACAGCACTGAGCTACAGATGGGCCTTTATTGTTTATCATTTAATATTATCGTGATAAGTTGCCTTTTATTATAGAATTTTTGATTTTTTTCTAAACAATAAGTTAGAGTCAGAGGTGAATAAAAACTCCAGAAATTGCCTGAATTGTCTGAATTTTTATTTTTTACTATTTTATTAATTTTGTTTAATTTTTCCCATTGGGGCATTTCTATGAGATGCATAGTGATATAAATCATACGGCTTCATGTAGCTTTATGTGTCCTGAAGAAACTGATTTTAAATGTGTATATTTATTCAGAGTATTATTTGCGGAGCCGTGATGGCTGTGGTAAGCAGTCACAGTCATAGAGTTAAGAAAGGCTGCAAAAGAAATAGTGTTTTTATTTGTCACTTTTATTGTTACCACGAAAAAAATCACACAATATTGGGATAAAATTTTAAGTGCATATTGATCAGCCCTATAAGGGACAAAAAATGACAAAAAAAAACACATTTTAAAAATTAATACACATAAATAAATTAGTACACATGTAATTTAACAATTGAATGAATAAATACATATATTAATGTATGAATATCATGTTTTTGTCATAAAAATGCACATTCTGCTTACTTTTTCCCTTGTATTCCACATATTTATGTATTAAGTTGTGTATTTTATCCAATTTGTGTGATATTTATGGGTTCATTTATTTATTTATTCCCATTTTTATGTGTCTGTATGTTAATGAGGTGTATGGTTCTAACATGTGTCTTCTGAGGATGGGTTAACTGGGAGAATCACACAATTCATACATGGATGCACATCAGTGAATAGTTTATATTTGCATGTATTTATTTGTATATTTATTTCTTTATAGAGTTATATTTGTTTTATTTTAAAATACATTTTTTGTTATCATTTTTCATTCCTCATACAGACCTATGTGGAGACATATAATCATCTGCAGAAATCTAACATTAGATCCTTAGTTTTCCAAACCAGACCCTCTCAGCTCCATGACTCTGCCTTCAGCTGCT